AGCCCGGTCAGTGTAAATGATGAACTGAGGTATGGGGACTGGGCTGGCACGTGCACGCTGAGCCCTAGTAACAGCACCATAGGGGGAGAGGTGGTCTGAGCACAGCACTGGAATCCAAGGCCCTTGAGTTCTTACCCTCTTCCTGCCCCGGGCCAGTCTCCCTGGGTGACTTGAGCAAGGGATTTCTCCTCTCTGCCTCCATTTCCCATCTGTAAAAATGGAGATTGTGGATCCCAGCTACCTTGAAGAGGTGTTATGAGGATTAATTAGGAAAGTACGTCAAAAATAGATGCTAATTATGACTAATCATGCATCGCTGAAACTCCCCTGGCTATACCGTGGAAGGGAACCCAAAGAAGCAAATATTTATCAATGCAATATATATTTAATAGGATAAGGAAGGGAACGCAAAGAAGCAAACCCAAAGTCTGCATTCTGTAGACAGTCCTCAAATAGCCCTTCATGACTACTGCCCCCAGAGGTGGTTGTTTCATTGGGGAAGGGGTCCCTTACAGTTATCTAAGGGGTTTGTACGGAACCAGTTTCTGTGGTATCTAATCAAAGCCTTTGGCATCCTGCACGACGAAAGTCACTATAGAAGCCTAAGACACCATTAAGGACCAAGTTCTACCCTTGGTTCCACCTGTGTAAATCTAAGGCAACTCCACTGACTTACAATTGTCCCTCAGTGCAACGGGGGTGGGGGGCTAATTCTGCAGTACACCAAAGAGGCTATTTAGAAGAAGGCCACAAGTGTGCAAGGGAGTGAACTTCACATTCACATTCGTCCCAAGGCTGCCAATAAAATATCCTTAAATGAACGAACAAAACACCTGTGCTCTGCTGCCCAAGTGTGGACCTTCAGCTGCCGATGACTCCATGAAATGCCCATGATACACAGTACTGGGTGGGATTTCATTCACGCCCTTTTCTTGTTGAACTCATGATGTTTGTTTTTTTCCAGAGAGTCACTGTGGGTGTGATGTTACAAGTAGTTTATTTCTCTGATTAAACCAAAACAGCTGCAGTGAAGTAAACCAAGGGCACGGGGTCTTAAGTAGAGCTGCCTCTTTCCATTACAGGCAATAAGCAGCACTCACAGTGCATCTCCTCTCACTGAACTGCTTCTCGTCTGCTTTTTCCTTTCAGTTCAGTGTTCAAAGCCAGACGTGCAGAATGGAAGAATGGTCAATGCATTAGATGAGAAAATGTGGTACAACGTAAATGAAAGCATTACTTTCAAATGCTCTTCTGGGTACCAATTTTCAGACCATTGGTACCTGCCTACAACAGACAGCTTTAGTATTACTTGTTCAGCCAACGGCAACTGGACAGCGTTACCCAAATGTGTAAGTAGGACACTCCAGCTGGATTTGTACTCTGCCCAATTTCTAGTGTAAAATAAAAAAAAAGTAATAAAACAGTGTTTTGCATTTCTAAAGTCTTAGTCCTCATTGTTTCAATGAATCAATGGGACCAAGTAGGGAGATGTGCCATTGATACAATAGAAGGGGAAATATCCTTCCTCCATCCCATCCTTTCTCATGCTTTGAAGTAGGAGATTTTCTGCCTTTGTAGCACCTATTCCATGGGGGGAGGGGGAGGGAGTAAAATGTGGTAGGTAAAAATCACACAGGATGAAAACTTGGCCATATTATAAAATAGAGAGGCTTCCAATGTAGTCTAGGGTGTGGACATGGCATATCTTCTGCTGGGCTAGTTCACAATATAAAGCAAATTTATGATTATTTTAATGAGTAGTTGCCAGTGTACTTAGCACTGTGAAAATGTAAATGGAGGCCGGGTTCTGGCTCAAGGAGTTGACAATCCAAGTGCCTGATTCTGCAAGGTGTTCAGAACCTTCTCAAAGTTGCTTAGAACTATCAGACCCTATAGATGTCAATAAGAATTGAGGGTGTGAAGGCCTTTTCAGTATCAGGCCTGTGTCAGACAGACTGTATGATACAGATATAGGTAACCCACTGACTGAGGGTTCAAATCCAAAACGGAGCAAGCATACTTCAAAGGGTAAATCCTTCTCTTCTGCAGCATAATCCCATTCCCTCTTCCTCTGTTTCATAGAAAAAGCAAAGCAATACTGAAGAATGTGCAGGGGCACGTGAGAGTAAAGAGTTTCTCCATTGTGATGTGCCTGTGACGGAACTGAGAACCCTGCTGGAACTGAAGAAACTGTATCTGGAGATTCAGAAACTGAAGCAGGAGATTAAAAAATTGTAATGACTGCTGAAATCTGTGATCCTCATTGTGTTAGGAAAGTGAAAGTAAGTAGAGGAACTAGATTGAACTGTATGAACTGAAGGTTTATTTTCATACAAGCTTCACTCCCTGTGCAGCTGGAAATTTACGGCAACAACCTTCAGCTTTGCCATAATTGCTGCTTACATTTAACTTTTATGCATTATAACACATACGTTCACAGTGGGTGTATGGCCATTCTACTGTCTGATTTACATTAACCTTAAGGGCAGTGATGTTCATAACTCCCTGTGCACCACTGAAAATCTAAGGGATAGCAAAGCAATCTTCCCTGTCCTCTGGATTTAAACTCAGCTCAGCAGACTTTCTTCCCAGTCTGACCAGATCTAGTTTTGATTGATACCAGTGTTATCACCTGAGGCATTTTTATATCTAATCACACTCAAGAGTAGGTGGTAGAAATTTAACTGTAGAGAAACAGCCTGCTAAACCATTTCCCCATTGCCCAATAAATTGCACCTTCTGTGATCAAGTCATTATTCCTGCATTCCAGGGCTACAATAAAATGCAATTGTTGTAAGTGCTGGTGGTTTGTGTGGTTTTTTGTTTTTTATAACTTTATCCCACTGGCTACAAGACCTAAAAATCCCCAGTGTGTTTAAAGGCTCCTTGTCTTAGGAGGGAAAAACTATCTCAATCTAGTGAACAGTCTCAGCAGGGACTGCAAGGACAGGGGAAGGGAGTGAAGACTGGCTTTTCCTCTCACATCTGGAGGAGCTCATGGTTGAAGCATACTGGGGAAGTAGCATAGGAGACAGCAGCTTGCCTTTCTGTGGACAGTGCTGTACCTGTTCTGTGGAATATCAGAAAACATCGGTCTACAGCACTGTTATGCTGGTATCTTTACTCCTGTTTATGGAGCCAGCGAGTCAGATCCCCAAAATAACAGAGATGAATTTGACTCAGAGGATGAGTAGAAAGGATCCCTTCATAACTGTTAACACTGTGTTGGCCAGAAAAACGAGTGTTACATTCCCGTTCCCTGAGAATCAGTGGCTGTATGAAGCCAGGAGGAGCCGATTGAAAGAAAGCTGCAGAGAAGTAACATATAGGCCCAGAAGTTCCCTCCACCTCAAAATTGTAGCTTTGAGGGCTACTGAGCTCTAAGGGGGCATGATACTCTCGCAGGGTAGAGCAAATTGTATTTCCGGGAAGGATGAGGTGGGGACAAGGGACAGAAAGCAGCTGAATTCTGCATTAGGGGCTCCATAGAAGTTCACCTTAGAAGCTGCAGCTTGGGTGTGCTGAATCAGTGCAACTCAGGCTGCCTAGCCTACTTTTGGGGTGACACTAGCTACCTGTGTCGCCCCCCTATACTCTGGAGAAGGACTCCCTGCTCCAAACCAGTTTCTACCACCATGAAGGGACTCTGAATTTAATTTACCTTAGTTTATGACGCCTCTCTCTATTACTCTTCTACCCGTGGATCATAATACAACTTAGCTTTTCTCTGTAGACAAAGACCAGCAGAGGCCATTCAGTAGCGATCCATTTAGGTGGCATGAACCAAGTCAGCCTGGGCCTCTAATCACCATTTCTGAAGCTGAGTAATACATTATGTAACCCATACACCTTCTGGGCGTGGAGTTCTGTCCCATCTAGTGGTACTGAGACCACTTAAAGAGAGAGAAAAATTAGTTTGCTCTACAGCCTCAGCTAACACCAGTTGGCCTTTAGCGCATGTGGTCGAGGCTCATACACTAAGCTCTTAAGGGCCTATGTTCAATCCTGTCTACTGGTGTCTGTCAGTCTTACAATTACACTGTAAGCAGCTCTAGAGACTAATTTTCTAGGCCTTTTAAGTTAAAGAGGAAATGTGCATTGAGCAATATGTAAAAAGAGAGCTTTTCTATTCATCTGTCCTGGATATTTACAACTCTCGTCACAGTGGTATATAGCCATTGGGTCAAGGCTAGGAAGCAGGCTGGAGCAGAAGAGAGGGAGAGGAAGGTGAAGTGGGCGATCTGTTCCTCGCTGTTGAAATGTGCACAGACAACTCTGGAGAGTGAAGTTCTTCATTTATCCTCAGCACCAATAGAGCACGGGGAGCAGCACTGCACACTCCCACTGCCCCTATGCTGCTCTCTGCCAACGTGTCACAAACCAGACCTGTAGGGACTACCTTTAGGGGTGAAATGGAGTTCCAGCCCCATAGCCCATTCAGTCCTTGGCCACTGCTGGGATCGCCAGCTATGGGTTGTGTTGTGTAAGTTTCTGAGCCTGTAACACACACATTACATAAAGCTTTGTTTTCTCATCTCTCTGCCAAATGTTTGATTGCTCCAATGGGAAAAAAAATCTCCAAAGTGAGGACAGATGTTCAAGTCTTCACAGTGATATTCAATGTGCTGAGCTCTTTTGAAAATAAAGCCCAAGGGTGTGTGTTTTGGAATTTCAGTTCCTTTGCTGCGTGTGTTAACGGTGTCATTAAGATCAACCTCCTGTCTGTGTTTGCTGTAACCAACTGGATTCAGCCTGAGCCAGCCCCGCCCCTTCCCTCCTAACCCCGCCTCCAACCAGTCTCAGCACTATGCAGGCCCCGCCCCTTCTCTACTGACCCCGCCTCCAATCAGTCTCGGCACTATGCAGGCCCCGCCCCTTCTCCCCTGACCCCGCCTCCAACCAGTCTCAGCACTATGCCGGCCCCGCCCCTTCTCTCCTGACCCCGCCTCCAACCAGTCTTAGCGCTGTTTGGGTCCCGCCTCTTCGTCTTTCTCACTTGTGCCGAGCACGGCGCAGCCTGCAGATTGGAGCTTCTTGCGCGCCCCTGTCATGTCCCCGGGGCTCCCCGGCCCCGCGCTGGCCCTGGCGCTGCTGCTGCCCGGGACTCGCAGTGAGTTGGGGGGTCGGCAAAGCACCTCCGTGTGCAGGGCGGGGCTCCCCGGGACTGGGGGGCTGCGGACAGTCCCGGTGAATGGGGGTCCCCCAGGGCATGAGCTAGGGGCTGCCTGGGGCCGGGCCCGTGGGTTGGCCTTTCCTGTCACTGAGGGTCCCTTCCAGGTAAAGGGGAGCCTCTCTGCCTGTTCTGTGCGCTGGGTCCCCCTGAGCCCCTTCCCCAGTGCACGCAGCCCAGGGACTGCCGCCTGCCCCCGGGGTTCCCTCGTTCTCTGGGGTTCCCGCCATGGGGGAAATACATGCGAGGGTTGGCCCTGATTCATGTCTCTTGTGTTCCCCAGCTGTGTGGCTATTGCTGCCGGCCACGTCTTCAGCTCCCAGTTTAACCCCCCGAGGTGGGTGGGGCTGTCTGGGAAATCGGAGTAACCTCCCTGCTTGGGCTCACCTGGTCTGTCGCAGTTCCCTCTTCTCACATCTGGTGGCTTCAGGATCCTTCTGGTGTGTAAAGCGACTAGACTAAATATGTTCTGTTAAAATGGGCTTTTGTTTTGTCCACAGGTGACTGTGGGTCCCTGCCAAAGCTGAATCATGCTATCCCCTCTGATATGGATCGGATAGAGGGCTTCCCTGTTGACACACAAGTTACATACAGATGCCGTGATGGGTTTGTTAATTCCCTGGAAAGTCAGACACTGTAGTGTGCCTTTCAAACTCACAATGGTCAAACATCAACGAGTTTTGTGGTCGTAAGTATTTTATTTCTCTGAAATAAAGTTCCTTGAGCTGCCTTTCACTTATGAAAAGATAAGACCTTTCCTATTTAGTAGGTATAGTCAAAATTAGCTCTGCCCTGTAATGATACCCAAAGGGAAGGGGAAAAAATTTACATGAAGTTTAATGTCTTTCATCTAGTCTGGGACTACAAACACTGAAATGCAGGAATCCTAGTTGTATGCTTATTTCTTGGCATCACTACTAGGGTTATTTGGGTGGCCTCACTCTGCATTTCCATACTTAAACATGTTTTTGGGGAGGTGGTAAGAGTACCTTCACTCTGAATTTCCTGGATTTATAATACAGAAAAAGCTTTGTTATCCAGCATGTTGTGGGAATGGGAGGTGCCAGTTAATCAGATATTCCAGTTAATTAAGTGTTATACTTACTAATGGAATACCAATTTTCAAAGAATTAGAATACAATAAAATGAATAAAGTATAAAATAATATACAGGTACTTGTCAATCCAGTAGTAGTACTGGACTGCAGAGTGGTTGGTTTCTTGAAGCACTTAGGTATAAACCTACCATATGGAAAACTTTACCTGTAATCTTATGACACTACATATCACTATGGGCAGCACATGAAATACACCTAGATAATTAAAAATACACTTAACACTAAAACTGTACTGAACATAATTTAATCTTTGATGATTCAGAACGCACTTCAGGATCTTGTGATGGCTCAGGGTCATCATTATCAACGGTCAATTATCATCGTAGACGTAGAAGGTGTAGGAGAATGGGCTGAATCTGTAATGACCCAAAGACACACCATGGAAGCTGCTTTTTTGAATAAATCACTGATTTCAGCTTGCTTATTTGTCTTCTGTCTCTTGCATAAAAGTAGAGTGCAGAATGTGCAATTGCATAATCTCCTGGGCAGTATACTAGTCCCGGTTACTAGATTGAAGATTTGTATTAGGAGATATCAGAAAAGCCAGTTAATAGAGCTTTCTGGTCAGTAAAGTGTCGGATAACACAGCTTTTACTGTACTTGTTTTGGGGCTAACTAAATCGCTCTCATTTAATTTACTCTAAATTACTGATATGTACTCTTGACATTCAATAAAAATTAACTTAGTTTTTATCTGGGAATATAATAAAAACAAAAACAGTAAAGTATATCATAATATGCATTCTGCAGTTTTCTATTGGGGGCCCATTCAGCATAGGGTCTATTTGAAAAAGGGCATCCAAATGTGATTGTTAGTAACCTCCCTAAAGTACTGCTAAGGGAGTAATTAGTTTTCTAAACACTGAGTTTTGGCCTATTGTTACAACAGACTGTTTTTATACCTGCCTTCATAGCCAAACCTTTATGATCTAATGCCCGTCTCCACTGCTAGGTAGCTGTGGTACCCCAACAAGATTTAAGTTTGCTGCCTTAAGTAAGGAAGATGAGAGCAAGAATTACCATCCTGTTGGGATCACTGTGAGATATACTTGTTGCCCAGGGTATGAGAACATCACGGAAATGCTTGTTGTTCGTACTTGTCTTGAAAACTTAACATGGTCAGAAGCCCCTGAGTTTTGTAGAAGTGAGTATCTTTTTTTTTGTTACTTTTCGGTCTCCCGTGATCTGAAAACATCTTTGACAATTAAGACTACCAGGCAGCTGGCTCCCAATTTCCTAGCTTAATTGATATTTAGTTTGAAGGGCTGTTAGCCAGGTTTTTTCTAAGGATAAATTGCAATAGCTGTATTTCCATGGAATATTTAGTTGTTGAAGATCAAGTACCAGGATAGCACTGGCTGTATGAATACGGTATGTCTGCTTCGAATTTCATATGGAAAGTAAATTTCTAATGCAGTACATTTCAACTAGAATAACCCTAGTAAATTACTTGTTGTAGGAGGGAGGAGGAATTTTTGCCATTGAACTTCCTTGAGGATTATGGGAGGTTTCTTGTCTGTCTTCATTAAAATGGATGACATGGATAGAGTATTTTTTCCACAATGCTTGGTAACTTGTGGAATTTACTGCCATCAAATACTGAATCAAAGAATTCTGTGGGATTAAAGAAAGAAAAAGGTTGTACACTTAACATGCATGGGGGAGGGATAGCTCAGTGGTTTGAGCATTGGCCTGCTAAACCCAGGGTTGTAAGTTCAATCCTTGAGGGGGCCATTTAAGGATCTGGGGCAAAAATCTGTCTGGGAATTGGTCCTGCTTTGAGCAGCGGCTTGGACTAGATGACCTCCTGAGGTCCCTTCCAACCTTGACATTCTATGAAAAATAAGGATAAAAAGACATCGGGGATATTTTACCTTCGGAACATAAGTCAACAATTAACTGTGGGGTTTTGACAAAACTGACCTTCCCACTCTCCACCCCTGGCTCCAGTGGGCATTTTATTGCATAATTACCTCTTTTGGTCTGGGCACCTGTGCAGGGTACAGCCTGCCAGCGGTTGAACACCTTCAGTTGCCACTGGTATGATTGAGCCCTGTTTCGGTTTTACAAGTGTGTCCGAAGCCACTGTCAGAGAGACGGTACTGGACTAAAAGACCCTGTGATCTGGTTTGGTGTGACACTTACTATATAAAGTGGTCTGAGTGGGCATGCAGCTATAGCCTTCCTAAGTATGTTGTTGTTGTTGGCTCTTCTGTTTCCATTATGACAACACAAATTAATGCTAATCCTAGCCTTGGTCTTTATTAGGGAAATCATGTGGTCATCCAGGAGAACTACTCCATGGCAGAGCTGTTCGTATAACAGAATTTCCGTATGGTGCAAAAATAGACTTCCTCTATGGAGATGGGTGAGTGTCAATGTGCCTCTGGTAGTTAATTCACAGAACTCTGATGTACAATTGCTGGCTAACTGCAAAGTAATGCATGGTCTAAACCACACTTGGCGGTAGTGCTATTAACTGCAGCGTTGGGGTGGGCTCTCGTTTGGAAGTAGAGCTTTCAAACAGTTGGGTAGTATGGATTCTGACTCCACCCTCCCCACTTGAGTGATGAAATTGAAATGGGAAGAAGTCACGGCTCTGTGTGGAGGAGGGAGAATAGGGGTTTGCTGTGGTGCCTTTACTTTTTGCACCCGGTGTAGTTCAGTGAACCAGATCCTGTCCAGATGGGTTATGTAGTGCCACAGAGTCTATAACAAGTATCAAATCAGGCCCAGTATGTCCCAGTTCACGTGCAGCTGGGCTTGAACTTAAATCTTTCCACATGGAATGCAAATGTTGTCAGGTGGAGTTATCCAGTATTTGGTGAGGTAATCTCAGTGGCCTGGCTTCTGGTGGGAAGAATACTTCCTGGTTGAAATATTTGTGGGATGCCCTAGATTTTGTAGCATTGGTCCTGGGTGTGATTCAGGCCTAAGTATAACTTTTATCACAAATTAAACTTGGCAAAAATATTTTTAAGCTTTTACACATAATAGAAAGTAGGTCCAAATTATGGTAGGTGTCTAGACAAATAGGTCAGCATAAAATGACTATAAACATGTATTTATTTTGAAGGAAGTACTGCATAGAAGATGTGGGTGTTCAAGTGTCTATTTGGAAAAGCTACCCCAGTAAAATTGGTCTGTCAGTTGCCTTTGCAGTTACAAAGCCCATGTATGAACCACACTTTCCATCAATCTGTCACTTGGTTCAAATTTTGCATGCATGGTTTTAATCAGGGTTTAGAGAACTGGAAAAGATCTTTAGTTGTGAAATGAAAAACAATTCTGTACCAAAAACTGTTCTTTGTCTCTCTCCTATTAAAACCTTAACACTTTCCCCCACCCCCAAACACACATGGTTAGGCCTGGTATATGCTTAGTATAGGTTGACATAGGTATGGCACTCAGGGTGTGAAAAATCCACATCTCTGAGCATCATTGACGTAACCCCTGGTGTAAATGCAGCTAGATCCACAGACGAATGTGTCAGTCAACCTAGGACTGTCCCTCTGGGAGGTGGTGTTTCTACAGCAACAGAAAAAAATGTAGGCTGCATGTACACTGTAGTGTTCTGCAGGCATAGCTATGTTTTTATAGGTTTCAGAGTAGCAGCCGTGTTAGTCTGTATCCGCAAAAAGAAGAACAGGAGTACTTGTGGCACCTTAGAGACTAACAAATTTATTAGAGCATAAGCTTTCGTGGACTACAGCCCACTTCTTCGGATGCATATGCATGTACTCCTGTTCTTCTTTTTATGTTTTTATAGTCCGTGTGGTATAGATGTTGCCTTTTCCCATAGTACTAGAGGAAAGACGGTAGGGAAGGGTGTGTGGCCGCATACCCCATTAACTAATTTCTATGCAAGCATCTTTTAAAGGTGACACAATTTTGGAAATGGAATGCTGCTGACAGAGGAGGGGTAGCCAGGGCTGCATAGACGTTGGAAGGCCTGGGGCAAAATCTGGAACTGAGGCTTCCCACTCTTCCAAAAATAACTTACTGCCCGGGTGGGGGATGAGCGGGGAGTGAGCCCACGGAAGTGGCTCCTGTCCTGTCAGGCTGGGACCAGCTCTGGGCGGTGAGACCTGGCACATGAGGTTGCAGCACTGCTCAGGTTTGGCCCTGTTGCCCCTCTGTCATTGCATTGCAACCTGGTGTGCTGAGCTTGCAACATCCCTCAGTTTGGAAGCCTTCTTAAAAGGGGGGCCTGGGGCAAACTGCCTCTGTTGCCTTCCCCTGTGGTGGCCTAGAGATGCTTGGGCTGAACCACTGACTTTCGGAGTGAAGCGTATGGTCAGAGTGGACAGTATGTTTAATTCTTGACTACCCCGGATAACAAGGCAGTTATCAAAGGTGTAGAATGCCAGGTTGTTCCATTCAGAACGGTTCCACAGGATGGGACCACAACAGTAGTTGTCGGCTTGTAGCAAGCAAGTCTAAACCCTTTCACGTGTGAAAGCACTCAGAACAGTCTGACGGTATCTAACATTACTAGTCCTTTGGGGATTCATCACACTGAGTAACTGGGACTGGTTTAGGGACCCTTTCTGCCTTCTCTAGCAATGGAAGAAGTAAGAATCACTACAATGTGCGAGTTAGAGGGGAGAGAACCCACCGTTTTGCTGTGCAGAGGATTAATGACTGTTCCCAAGTGTCTGATTCAGTATAAACCTGTTAAGCTTGCAGAGAGCATGTTGTATCCACCTATTTGCTTGCTTAAATTGCCTTTTACTACTCCGTGTGCCTTGGTCATGCTGGTACTTTCACAGCAGGAATGATCTTACTCAATGTTTGTTGTCCCTTTTTGACCAAGTGGCTAGTCAAAGTTCAGGGCCCTGGTGATGTTCCAGTTGGGAGTGGAAATTGCTGATGGAATCGGGTATTTTCTTTGTAGCCTTGCTTATTTGCAAGGAATGTAGAAAGTCCCGCTTCTCCAAATGCAGGAGAAACCAATGGCAAAGGAATGGGTTTTTTTAGCTTACGTGCCCAAGCTTCTTTTCATCCAGCACCCTTGACCCACAGCATCTAAGTTTCTTTCAGGGTCACACCGTGCTTACAAGCTTCTGCTTGGCTTTGTTCAGGTTGTCTCAGTCTCCCTGGTTCTGTTCTGCCTTGTGACCCCTGACCCCCCCCCAAAAAACCCCTATCAGCAAAAATCCTTCCACCCACACTGTGCAAAACTCCTGAGTGGGTTCACATTATGTCTGTTTTTAGGTGGGGCATTGTGATGGACTTCTCACAATTATATTAATGGAAGGTACATTGACACCCATCAATCTCAACGAGGCTTTAACTCAACCCATAACAAGGCTTCACCCAGGTCATAAGTCACCACCTGTAAGCTGAAAGAATCCATATTCCAAATTGTCAGACAGTTACACAAGCAATCAAAGCCTAGGTAAGAAACTTGACACTTTTTTCTTTTCTTGTTTGTTTGTTTTAGGTACAAATTAATTGGGCGGCCTTTCATTCAATGTAGACTTAAGGGAGATGAAGTTGAATGGAGTGAACTTCCAACTTGCCAAGGTAAGACTAATCCAACCTTCACTATACGTCTAAATCTGAGGTTTCTTTGGAGTAGAACTCCCTCTCTAAACCTCTCACAGTCCATTTGCCTCTTTCCTGTTTTGGATACTTATGTGGAGGGTCTGTTGGCCATGCTGTTGCTATGAGAAATGTTTTAATTTTCCTACTGTGGAATACTTGAAAACCTTATCACTGTTCCCCAAGGTCACGAAACCCTCCCTTTCCTATGTGTAATGTTTGGGAATGGATGTGCTCTGGTGAGAGAGTTTGCCAGGGTCCTGTGTCATGGGGACCAGCGCCAGTTTGCATGATATCATTTAGAAGAGGGTGGAGTAAAGCTTGAAAGGAGGGAGGAAACTCTCAAATTTGGTTAAAATACAGTACTAACTACATTTTCAAATGGCTAAATATTTTTCTTCTTTTAGGGAATCTTAGATCAACTTTTTGTTAAGTAAATGTTTGCACTCTTCATTGAAACTTTTGTTAGTATTAATGCGACCAGGTTGGTGAGATCATCTCTTTTGTTTTCTAATTTATTTTCTAAACACTGAATTTTGGTGTATTGTTACAACAGACTGTTTTTATACCTGTCTTCATAGCCAAACCTTTCAGATCTAATGCCTGTCTCTACTGCTAGGTAACTGTGGTGCCCCGACAAACTTAAAGTTTGCTGTCTTAAGTAAGGAAGATGAGAGGAAGAATTACTATCCTGCTGGGATCACTGTGAGATATATTTGTCACCCAGAGTATGAGAACATCATGGAAATGCTTGTTATTCGTACTTGTCTTGAAAACTTAACATGGTCAGAAGCCCCTGAGTTTTGTAGAAGTGAGTATCTTTTTTTTGTTTGTTTGTTTGTTTGTTACTTTTCAGTCTCCCTTGATCTGAAAACATCTTTCACAATTAGGACCGCCAGGCAGCTGGCTCCCAATTTCCTAGCTTAATTGATATTTAGTTTGAAGGGCTGTTTAGCCAGGTTTTTTTCTAGGATAAATTGCAATAGCTGTATTTCCATGGAATATTTAGCTGTCCTTAAAACTGACTGGAGAAGATCAAGTACCAGGATAGCACTGGCTGTATGAATACAGTATGTCTGCTTGGAATTTCATATGAAAAGTGAAATGTACTGCATTAGAAATTTAATTAGAATAACCCTGGTAAATTATTTGTTGTAGGCGGAAGGAGGAATTTTTGCCATTGAACTTCCCTGAGGATTATGGGAGGTTTCTTGTCTGTCTGCATTAAAATGGAGAAATGGATGGAGTATTTTTTCCACAATGCTTGGTAACTTGTGGAACTTAATGCCACTAAATACTGAATCAAAGAATTCTGTGACATTAAATAAGGGTTGTACACTTAACATGCATAAATAAGGATAAAAAGACATCAGGGTTATTTTACCTTCGGAACATAAATCAACCATTAACTGTGGGTTTTGACAAAACTGTCCTTCCCACTCTCCACCCCTGGCTCCAGTGGGCATTTTATTGCATAATTACCTCTTTTGGTCTGGGCACCTGTGCAGGGTACAGTCTGCCAGGGGTGGAGAACCTTCAGTTGCCACTGGTACGATTGAGCCCTGTTTCGGTTTTACACATGTGTCCGAAGCCACTGTCAGAGAGACGGTACTGGACTAAAAGACTCTGTGATCTGGTTTGGTGTGACACTTACTATATAAAGTGGTCTGAGTGGACATGCAGCTATAGTCTTCCTAAGTATGTTATTGTTGTTAGCTCTTCTGTTTCCATCATGACAACACAAATTAATGCTAATCCTAGGCTTGGTGTTTATTACGGAAATCATGTGGTCATCCAGGAGAACTACTCCATGGCAGAGCTGTTCGTATAACAGAATTTCTGTATGGTGCAAAAATAGACTTCCTCTGTGAAGATGGGTGAGTGTCAAGGTGCCTCTGGTAGTTAATTCACAGAACTTTGGTGTACAATTGCTGGCTAACTGCAAAATAATGCATGGTCTAACTTCAGAACCATACTTGGGGGTAGTGCTATTAACTGCAGCTTTGGGGTGGGCTCTCGTTTGGAAGTAGAGCTTTCAAACAGTTTGGTAGTATGGATTCTGACTCCACCCTCACCACTTGAGCGATGAAGTTGAAATGGGAAAAAGTCCTGGCTGTGTGTAGAGGAGGGAGAATAGGGGTTTGCTGTGGTGCCTTTATTTTTTGCACCCGGTGTAGTTCACTGAACACCAGATCCTGTCCAGATGGGTTATGTTGTGCCACAGAGTCTATAACAAGTGTAAAATCAGGCCCATTATATCCCAGTTCAGATGCGGCTGGGCATGAACTTAAATCTTTCCACATGGAATGCAAATGTTGTCAGGTGGAATTATCCGGTAGGTGGTGAGAGAGATTCTCAGTAGCCTGGCTTCTGGTGGGCAGAACACTTTCTGGCTGAAATATTTGTGGGATGCCCTAATTTTTGTATCATTGGTCCTGGGTATGATTCAGGCCTAAGTATAACTTCTATTACAAACTAAACTTGGCACAAATATTTTTAAGCTTTTACACACGATAGAAAGTAGGTCCAAATTATGGTAGGTGTCTAGACAAATAGGTGAGCATAAAATGACTAAGTGTTTTTTTTTTTAAGAAAGTCCTGCATAGAAGGTTCAAAGTTCTATTTGAAAAAAGTACTCCAGTAAAATTGGTCTGTCAGTTGCCTTTGCAGCTACAAAGCACTTGTATGAACCACTCTTTCCATCAATCTGTCACTTGGTTCAGATTTTGCATGCATGGTTTTAATCACGGTTTAGAGAACTGGAAAAGATCTTTAGTTGCGAAATGAAAAACAGCTCTGTACCAAAAACTGTTCTTTGTGTCTTTCCTATTAAAACCTTAATACCCCCTAACTCCAAACACACATGGTTAGGCCTGGTCTCTGCTTAATATAGGTTGACGTAGGTATGGCACTCAGGGTGTGAAAAATCCACACCCCTGAGCAAAATAGCTATGCTGACATAACCCCTGGTGTGATTGTTCCTATCAAAACTGGGCAGAGGTTAAAAATACCAACTTTAGTCCATTTTATTCTATTCAAGTTCTTATAGTGCATCCAATAACATGGTACTTGAGCAACATAAGAAAAAGAAAATAAAAAGCAGACCGTATTATGTATCACAATTCCAAAACAAACGTTTCACCATCACTTCCTTCCATTCTTCCTCATTCTCCTGAGGTGACCTAAGGATGTGAGGCGAGTCTTGTGCCATATCTTGAAGGTCACCAAATCTGGGGTCTGGCAGACTAGAGGGAGGAAGTGAATTTTCATGCCTAGGCTTACAGCTAAAGCTTTCAGTTCTCACCTGTTTTTCTTTATTGTTAGGTAGTTGGATTACTCCACCACTGTTCAGATTTGCTGTACCACTGTACATTAATCAGAGCTGTTGTTCTGTCAGAACCAAGGAAAGAGCTATTTGCCGCCAAAGTTACATGGGAATCTCTGGAGTATTACCCAGCGCCACGTGCTTTCAAAACTTAAAATGGTCAGCAGTCCCAGGGTTCTGTGGAAGTGAGTCTTTTTCCTTTTCTGTTTCAATTGATCTACAAGACATTCTTGTGCAGTTAGTATAGTCTTCCGTTTAGCGGCTGGGTCAGAGTTCAGTCCTGGCTGCATTGATCTTAACATCTTGAAATATCTTTCTGTTTTAAATGTTTTGCTTTCAATTCACTGGATGTCTCCTTGTTCTATTATGAGAGCATAAATAGGAGAGCCCGATTGACCCTCTTGATACTGTATCCAAAAGCAAGAGAACTTTATACAATACACATCAAAACCCGTTTCTTTCTCCATGGACAATGAGGCAATGGCCTAATATTAATCTCATTCTATACTGGCGAGATCTTTGCTATCCAGGAGAACAAGAGCATGGCAGAGTTGCTGCTATAACAGATTTCCAATTTGGTGCAAGAGTGGATGTCACCCGTGAAGAAGGGAGAGTATCAGGCTGTGGCAAATGACTTTGGAATGAAAAAATCTTAAATCTCTTTTCCCAGTGAGCTTTCCATAAACTTCCAAAAAAAACCCCAAACTTTTGGACCCTTTTTGAGGAGGGAGGATCTGTAAAAATCCACAGTCTGGTGTCTGGTCTAGTACCAGTTGTGCTATTGGAAAAGTTCCAGTTTAGCTTTATGCTGCTGGAACACTTGAGGAGCTTAATGTTGTCCCCCAAGGATGCAGGTCAAGCAGCTGTCTTGACCTGTGACTCATGTAGTGGAGGTATGTGCTCTGAGACAGTGTCTCAAGGTTTGTGCTGTCAGCCTGGAGTCTGAGGCCTGGTCTACACTATGAATTTAGTTTGAATTTAGCAGCGTTAAATCGAATTAACCCTGCACCCATCCACACAATGAAGCCATTTACTTTGAAATGAAGGGCTCTTAAAATCGATTTCTGTACTCCTCCCCGACGAGGGGAGTAGCGCCGAAATCGACATTGCCATTTCGAATTAGGGTTAGTGTGGCCGCAATTCGACGGTATTGGCCTCCGGGAGCTATTCAACAGTGCACCATTGTGACTGCTCTGGACAGCAATCTGAACTCGGATGCACTGGCCAGGTAGACAGGAAAAGACCCGCAAACTTTTGAATTTCATTTCCTGTTTGCCCAGCGTGGAGAGCTCAGGTGACCACGCAGAGCTCATCAGCACAGGTAACCATGCAGTCTGAGAATTGAAAAAGAGCTCCAGCATGAACCATACGGTAGGTACTGGATCTGATCACTGTATGGGGAGAAGATTCCGTATTAGCAGAACTACGTTCCAAAAGACAAAATGCCAAAACATCTGAAAAAATCTCCAAGGGCATGATGGAGAGAGGCCACAATAGGGACTCATTTCAGTGCCGTGTGAAAGTTAAGGAGCTCAGACAAGCCTATCAAAAAACAAAGGAGGCAAACGGTCGCTCTGGGGCAGAGCCACAGACATGCCGCTTCTACGCTGAGCTGCATGCAATTCTAGGGGGGGCCGCCACTACTACCCCACCCCGA